GTTTGATGAGAATAACAAGGAACCGGAGTATAAAAAACACTGGGCGCAGCATAGACTGCATCAAGAATTGCATCGAAAAGATTAGGGTACTGTAGAGACCCGTCTTGCACCACGGGCGACGGAGCCGCGAAGAGGGCGTAATTAAGGGGCATGTCCTTAGTGTTGTTGCCTATGTATCTGTAGTAAGGGTACAAGTTGACCTGCAATGGAGCTTGTGTGTTCATCAAGAAACGGATTACAGGGTGAAGAATCGGCATATATTCGCCCTTGAAAGATCCGTTGGATGGAGGGGAAGATTCTCCGAGGGTACCGATGTCAATAGCCGTGGAAACTTTGATTCCAAGTCCGGCGACCGCAAGTACATTTTGGATGTTCTGCATGGCGGGGACTAGAAACTGTGAAAAAGAATCTGAGGGCTTAACTTCGTTCCCAACGGCTATGTAGCGGAGCTTAACGTTGGCGTAGTTCTTGACGTTGTTTTGGACCCAAGCGTTGGCATTGTCCTGGCTGGCGGCAATGCGCTGGAGATCGGTGTTGGGGACGCCGAGCATGACCTCAATATTGGTGCATTGGAGGGCTTGGAGCGCAGCTTTAGTCGGGTTGTAGAGTCTCATCCTTCGGATGTTGTATTGGTTGTAGAGAGCTATGACTTCTGGGTGGAGCGGTAAGTTGTCGCCAACCATGCCATAACAAACACCAATTTGGGCATCTGCATAAGATTGAATTCAAGAACAACTTATATAATTAACCCTTATTTTAATTATTTTTCTTAAATTAACTTATGATTAATTGAGTGTTGTTAAATTTTCAACAATTAAAATTAAAAACAAAAAATAACAATATGGAGAAAAATATTAAATAATAAGAACACGTTTGAAATATCAGATACAATGTGAAGTAAGACAAAATTTATATCCCTTCCTAATGTGTCCCATGTTTGGTAGGATGAGATACAATATATCCCACGTTTTATCCAATCCTTACCTCCCTTGAGAAAAGTTATCCCACCTCCCCCATGGGATTAGGTGGGATAAGATTGGATTTTACTGTTTAACCCTCCTTTCTCTACCCTGTGATTCACACATGTCATAGACATTGATTCTGACATTACTCTATTCATCCACCAATTTTGGCATTGCTTTGCTCTTCCTACCAGCATTGATCTCTTTCGTTCAAGTCTGTGATAATCTATTTCTTCATCTTCCACCATAGATCTTGACTCTCCTAAGTCTCTTATTATCCCTTTCATTATCTTCCATCACCGATCTCTCCCATTGTCATTAGCCTCAGATCTTGTCCTTTTTTTTTAGCCTCGGATCATCCCATTCCATTTCTTTTCCTCCTAAAATCAAAAGGCCCAAACGTATCCCTTCATCTCTCTCACTTGACGAACACTCCAATCTCAATTTCTTTATCAATTGTTGTCTATTGCACCCTATCTTTATACACGGTATGTCTCCAATATTTATTTTCTCTTTTTCCACTACTGAGAGTAGTCCTTTTGCTTCTCAAACGAAAATTAGTGTTAATATACTATTTGAGGTTGGGAAAGGAACTCTAGTTTTCTGTGGAAGAAGAAAAGGGAAACTACGAGAGAGGAAAAGAAAATAGAAGAAAATGGAGAGATAGGTGTTGCGGTCAACATCCTTTGCAAATAGAGGTGTTTGGGGCTTGGGAAAATGAAAAGGAAAATGCTGGAAACGACGAGAAAAATGTAAGCAAAGTTTGAAGCAATTTTATTAGTACGTTTTTCTAGGACAAAAAAAAGTACATTTTTCCTTTTTTTAAATAAGAAATCGAATTTTATATATATGAAATTGAATTGTAATGTTAGGGGTATTTTTTTTAATGCAACAAATATCTTTATCTAATCTTGTTTTAATCCAATAATCAACTAAACATGTCATTGGATTCTAACGTCTTATTTATTCGAATCCAATTTTATCCTTCAAATCATATCATATCATATATCATCTAATCCTATATACCAAATGTACTCAAAGGTTTTCGTTAATATGGTTATAAGTTTTTAGTTTTAGTTACTTTTCTTTTTGTCTCAAAATAATTGTTTTTTAATATTTTATCTCAAATTAGGAATTATGAGACAATTTTTGTATTTATCTATAATTC